CCTCTTCCCTTTCTTCAACTTCTGCAAACCCTAACATCTTAACCAATATATTCATCTCAGCCAATCTCTACCCTTGTTGGGTTCTTCATCATCATCAAACAACAAAACCCACAAAAAAATTTTTTTTTTTTTAATTTTTTTGCCGTTGTGTTCCATAGAACTTGCGCCTAGGTTCTTTGGAACCTAGGCATGCTTGGAATCCAACACTATGGTTCCAAAGAACCCCGGTGTGGGTTTGATCGAACCTAGTACTTCAACTCCTTCAAACTAAAGAGTGAGTAACATTCCAAATTGTTCCCAAGTAGAACAAAAAGATCCAAAATGAAAACCAACAAACCAACAACAAAGACATCCTGAATCATTGTTGTAGGTTAATTAAGTACTAGAAATCAACCTTCTCATCGCAGGCATGGCAAAGAGCAGCCTCATCAGCGGCATAGAACACAACAACAACAGCACTCTCATAGGCATCACAAAGGGTGTGCAAAATTCTCTCCCACTCTCATCATCCCCCAATCAATCCAAAAAAATTTTCAATTTGCACAAAATACCCATCACAAAGAAAAGAAAAATCGAACTGTATTTAGTCACTGCATTGTCTTGTTACACCAAAACCAAATTTCGTTGTTGGGGGGTTTTTGGTGATAATGATGATGGGAAGGACTAAGATTGGTGGTAGGGGATAAAGGTGGAAGCTTTGTCTATGGAGAAGACTATAGAATGACAAATAAGGGGATATAATAAGCAGAAAAATCAGAGACAAAATAAAATGAATGAGAGAGATTGGAAGTTTTGGTTTTTGTCAACTTCTGGTTTGGTCCATCCCGTTGCTCCCTCTATGAAAAATCAGAAAAATCCTGTTGTTCCATCGAACCCACCGCTTGGGAACCCACACCTAGGTTCCAAGGAACCCAATGGTTGCTAGGTTCGATGTTGTTAGGTTCCAAGGGGATTTAAAAAGGGAAGAGAAGGAAAAAAAAAAAGGAAAGAATTTTTTATGTTTTTTATCATATAATTGTTTTTTTCCATGTCATTATTATAAGTCAACAAGTTGGACTTGCCAACATGTCAAAAAATACAAGTTGGCACTGACATGTAAATGTATGACTGAGATTAACAATGCACATGTTGCACATGATCTTTCGGAGTTAAATTTTGCCTCATTTCCCTAAACTCGAAAACATGGAGGATAACAACCCATATATTGTAATATGAGGGGTAAAATGCCTCAAACTCTAAAAGTTGAAGGGCAAACGGGGGGGTTTCCGCCTATATATATGTGGTATTAATGTCTCGGTATCTAACAATCACATTATATCTTGATTAATTTGAAATCAAGTCATGTCAAACCCTTATAGGGGAAGCTTTCCCAGCGTTTTTTTTTTCATTCACAAAATTTAAATTTAATATTTTATTTAAGAAAAATTGAGTTCCAATGCATCATTGATTATTGTTATCCTTACTTATAAGGAGAAGAATCTTACCCGAATTATAAAAATATTTAGGGGTGAGCGTCAGTCGATTTGGTGATAGAACCGACCATTTTCAATAATCCAATTTTTTAGTTATTTATTTTAATAAACCACTAACCTAACCAAAATAGAGTGGTTTATTGGTTTAATTTTATTTCTTTTCCAATTTCATTGGTTCGGTTGGGTTTTAAATTGCATATCAATAGAAACTGATTCCCCCTTTTCCTTTGTCTTTTTGCTATTGTGCTGTCTTCTAAATTTTTTGTGGGAATAACCTCAGCATTCTCCACGTGAAGATAATCTTACATTTAAATCCAAATTCAAGAAAAAAAATATATTAAATAGATGATCATTTGACAAGTTCTTGAAAATTGAGTTTACAAATCTAATATTAAGGATCTAGCCTAAAATGAAAAAAATTGAACTAAAAATAGTAACATTAAGGTTCACAGTAAGATTCCTTGTTGCCTGATCCTCTTCCATAATATGACAAATTCTCCTTAAAATAATGGTGCTATGGGTTAGAGTTTGTCAAAATAATATATATATATATATATATAAGAACTCATATAGAAATTTGAATGACAAAATATCAAGTTTTGGTTTGTTATTAAAAAAATAAAAGAAGACCTAGACAAATTTCTATTATAGAATAAAGGTTAGGGTTTGTTATTAGAGAAAAAAGTAAAAGAAAATCCATATAGAAATTTGAAGAAATGTTAGGGTTTGTTGTAGAAAACAAAAATTAAAAGAAAACTATAGAGAAATTATAATTACAAAAGAAATTATCATTATCATTTGAAAAATAAGAAGAAAACTAAGAATCTTAGATTGGGTTACTCTTACCGATGAGTGACGATGAAGAAGAACTACAGTTTTGATATTAGAGATTGAAGAGAAGAGATGGAGAATGGAGAGAGGGCCTTTTGTATTTATACTTAATAATTAGGGTTTATTTTAGAATTTTTTACAATAAAAATCTTGGAAGGTGGAACAAAATCGTAGGAGGTGATAAAGTTTTCCAAAAGTTGAGCGGTAAACAATTAAACTATTTAATGGGCTGTCAATTTTATGAGCCTACTATGCTGTTTCAAGGTTTCAAAGCCCAACAATCACCTATCGGCCATTAGGCTTCGATTTGTAGTCCGCAAGCTTAAAACAGTCTGGGCCTGACCCATCAATGATTTTGCAAACGGTTTCAATGTGAAACCGCGATCTTGAAAAAAAAAAAGAAAAACCCTAGAAATATTGGGTAAGTAATGAGTATAAAAATAATAAATATATCTATAAATATTAATTTAAATAATAAATATAAAGGTTTAAAATTGTTTATTTAATTGACATGTTATTTGTATTTATATAATTGAAATTTATATGTACTTATTATACTTAATATCTATATAATAACAATAATTTTTTAAAAATAAAA